GTGAAATTTTTGATGAACAAAGCCTTTCATAAAAAGTAAACATTTGAAAAGATAGTATTTCCTTTCTTCTATCATTTACACTTTCATTTGAGGATTGATATTATTTCCTGTTAACTAATGCATAAATACACACTTTCCTTAATAATACGAATTTCCTTAAAGTTTATGTTGGTTTTCTGTGAATCAGAGATTGAGCAAACCAGTCCCAGCAGCCTACACTGTTGTTTGATATAGGGCAAATATAGTGAGTGGTACCAGGATAAATCTGTAACCCACTGTTCCCACCCGTGTCCTGTTCTTATATTTGTGCTGCCCCAGATGTTTGAGAAACATCATTTTTTCAAATGAGAGCTGTGGTCACTTGTCACACTGAGATACTCTCTGTCATTTGAGGCCAGCAGAACCTGAGCAGGTGCTCTCATTTCTGCAAATGCAACAAACACAATTAAACCTTTAATTGATGCACTTGTAAATGCAAACAGTAGTTCCATTTCTATCTGAGGGAAATAATTGGTTTCCTTTACTGAGATCATTTGAAGGGAATCCCAAGACATGAAAGTATGTGGTCAAATAGTGAAAGAACCCTTGTGAATGGATACATTTGCAACCCTGGACAAATTATGAAAGAGATGGAAAAGACAACCAATGGTGTCTCTGAAACACCACCTTTCTTTCCTCCCTTCCCCTTTTTAAATGGCAGTGACAATCAGTGATGTTCTTCAGGCACACTGCCAACAAACTTTCTCCAATTTTCTCATTAGTAAGTGAAAGTATTTATTGTGCATTTCTTCCAACACAGGAGTAAGGGAGGTAGTACTAATAAAGTGAATGCATGATGAAGGGGAAGCTCTCTGGGTCCTCTCCTCAAGTAATGGAAGTTAGGGCTCTGCACCATGGCACTCTAAGGGAAATTGGTCAAGTAGAACAGCATGAGGTGATATTTGTGTCTGCTTTCACATTTTAAGCAATTTGTAGCAAATGCTGTGAGATGTGTCAGTGAAAGAGGTGTAAATGTTCTGTGCATGAACTGGGGTTGCCTTGGGGCTGTAAAGATGACAAGATTAAAATAGGATGATTTATTATTATAGAAATATGTGTGAATGCAATCGAGGTTGAACTCAGACTTAATGAAAACATGTTATGATTTTTTTTTTATTTTCTACTTTCATTTAGAAGAACAATTATACTAAGGATTACGACTGGATAATTAGAAATGTTATATATTGCACTTGTTTTGTGCCACCAAATAACATTCTGTTTACTATAGTAATATCTTCCATTTTATATAGTGCTGCATTTTTCCATGGAATAGAGATTTATGGAATTTCTCATTTAAGAAGTATTCTAGGATCTGTCTTGCTTAGCCCTAAAGCAATTCATGCACCTAAGAAGTACAATTAGTATGTTTCCATATAAGGGGATGCTGGTTTGGAACTGCACTGATCAGAGCCCACATGTGGAATCAGAAATCTTGTGCTCAGACTGAACTCGAATAGGGTTTGCTGCTTTCTATTGCAGTAGATTTTTGTTACTGTCTCACCAATCTCTGTGGAGTCAGCTGAGTTCTGATGGTTATAAAATGATCCTTGAATGCTCCTTCAGATGTATCTCAGCTTTCATCTCTATAAGATTTTGTTTGAAAATAAACTCTAACAGTGTTAATATTTCTAAAAGGAAAAGAAAACCCAACTCAACAGTGTTTCTTCAGCTTAGCTTCTTGTATCTTTCTCCCTGATTTTCTGAGTTATTTCTCAGACACAACCATGTATGGGATACATACAGTCACCAGTGGTCTTGGGATACTCTTTTTGGTAAAAGAACAACAGATAGGAATGAGCAAGACATCCCAGTTCCTAGATACTTGCACTTGGGTTTTACACTGCTGGCTGTAAAACAAGGGGTGGGTGCCTCGGTGGAGGATCCTTGACTGTGGAGATTCTCTCCAGAAGAGGGAAGAGGCATTTGCAATCATTCCATAAAACTTGTCTGCTTTCCCTTGACCTGCATCATGACACTTGTGTAATTTTTATTTGATAGGTGTTGGTGTTGATGGCACCTTGTTTTCAGTGTGGTTTTTTTGTTTGTTTTTTTTTTTTTTTTTTTTTTTTTTTTTACTCAAACAATTTACTGTACTAGAAACTAGTACGGAAACAGAGTAATTGCATATTCCACTTCCTCCAAACAAAGCCCACATGCTGTGCAGTGGGAAGGCTGTCATGTCAGAGGTAGGTATATAAAATAAGAGGCGCTTAGAGGTCCTAGAGGAGGCTAAATAGAGGCTAAATACTCACAGCTCAGCACTTTTGAAATAGTCTGAAATATGTGAACACTCCCTAGATGCTCTGAACATAGAAACCCTGCTGAAATCACAGAGCACAACCATACATGGCTTAAAATTTTAGTTTTAGAAGGCTGGCAAAATATTTGTGTACTTCTGTATTCCATGACTGCTCTTATGTTAAAAAGTCTCAGATTTTTACATTAAAAAATTGTTCTTTTTTCTCCTCCTTCACTTCAGGTAATATGGGCGTAAAGAGTTTCAGCTCATCGGATCTGACTGATGTAAACTAAATTTGGGTATTATGTGCAGTCAATATACCACAATGAGGCCTTTGACAGTGAGGCCTTTGACTCACAGAAAGAAGTTGTTTTTTAACTGGGGTGTGTGTTTTATCATGTTTATACATTTCTATATTGATGGTAAAAAGAGAGGAATTATTTTAATAACCTGCAGATCCTTTTTTTTTTTTTTTTTAAATTTCTGGAGCAGGAACAGCATGCTTCTAGGAGCACTAAATAGGAAGGATGACCTACTTTAGTTGAAAACCACAGGCGAACTGAACCTACTTTTTCAATGCAATCCAGGAAGCAATCCCATTAAAACATGGTCTTGAAATCTTAATGTGCTTTTTATACAAAAGTGCTGTGCTAGGAAGAGGTGAAGAAAGCTTCCATCTGACACTGAGCAAAGTCCCTCCACACGGGCAAGCAGTCCCTCTCTCTGGGCCATTTGCGAGGTGACAAGGAAAGGCAATGTCGTTTTCTGTAGCATAATGTGTTCAGCTTTTTCCTAAATTTTTTTTCCAGTTTCTGTTGAATCAGTTAAATTCTGGAGCAAGAAAGTTTATTACCTTATCCTGCACCATTCTGAACCCTGTAGTACTGGCAATAATACCTGTCCTGAGCTGCTTGACTTCTTCCATGTCTTCTCACCATGGACTCCCCTGGAACTTGCCATACTGAAACAACTACCTACATGTCTACTGCTATATTTTCTTTTACTCAGTGTCTTGTCAGCAGATTTAAGTGTTTTAGAAAATACCTGAAGTAATGTGATTGCAGCACTGTCTTCAGGATACCTAAGAAGGTGTCAGTGTGATCTCTGAAGGCTGTATGTCTGGAAATTAAAACAGACTATGGTTCTGAGGTCACTCTTAGTGTCTGTGTCAGGGGTGGGATTCAGAGCTCTGTACAGCAAAGGGCATTTACAGAATTTCTTATTTGAAGGTGAATTGGATTTCTGCTACTGATGTAGGTACATGATGCTACTGAGGCAGATTTGCAGAGCAAAAAAGGTTGTTTGCAGTGATTCTGGAGCGAATCTGTTCACATTACTGCAATATGATGGGGCTGGGGGGAGTAGACAGTCTTACTGAAAAACTGCAAACTGCCAAAGATTTTTGAACCATCTTGCTGACCATTCTAACGCTGTCACTGTTTTGTTCAAGTGTGAATCAGACTTACTCATTTTAAACCACATTGCTGCAGATATCACCTAGCACAGCTGGCTTGTGATCCAATGAAACATGCTGCATTAGTGCATTTACCTATAAATTCTATCTATTTATTCTACCTCAGAGGTACCATTTGCAGCTTTAAACTATGTGCTGCAAGCACAAAATGGGAAGTACGTGCTGAATCTTGAGAGTTGGAAGAAGCAACACTCACTTTGCCAGTTTTTCATCTGAAACAGGCGAAGAAAACAAATGCAATTGATGTAAAAATACCTGTCAGTATTATCTCCATGTGTGTTACAAAAAATACTGTCTTTATACTGTATAATATACTGTACTTTTTAAACATTTTAAACATATATCATTGCATATAAACCATGATGCTTAACCTCCTGGAAATCAGTCTAAATTATTGAAAATACTAACTGTATTTTCAGATTTGCAAGAAATGGAATTTGTGATGGAAATCAAGATCTTACAGTTAGAAAGGATGCTATAGATGGTATAACAAGTCTGTGGTGTATGTGCCTTCACGCTTGTCACTTTGCTGCAGCTCCTTCTGGCAGGGGCAGCTTGCAAACACTCCTTGCAAAACAGAAATGGCAGCCCCTCTGCTGAAAGATGATCTCCCTGAGCTATGGTTTATTTATGGTTTATGGTATTTTACAAGATTTGCTTCCAGCCAAGTGGAAGAAGTGGCGCACAAGTGATAGGAGGTTCATTCTAAGTGACACACATAAATATCTGCAGAGTTGTTTCAACATTGGATTCCCAGCCTTCTCTGTGGTTTCCACAGTTTTCAATTTCCTTCAGCATAAATCAGACAAACGTTGTGTACTTCAACAGAGGTTACAAAGGCACATGTTGCATAATTCTGCTCCTGTGTTGGGGGGTCCCAGTCTCCAAAAGTGTTTGGAGCACTGTGCTAGGCAAGCACACAAAGTTAACAACCTGACCAATACATAAAAGTACCCTTTGTTCTTGTGTGTGGCTTGAAATTATCTTTTGAAATTTGAAATTTTATGGTACATTTGACCTTTAATAATGGCAGTGATTTAATGTTCTACTAAAAGGCCATTATTGAGGTGGAGTGTCCATGTACCCAGAGGAACAGTCTGGGTTTTTGTTACTGAGCAATACTACTATTTTTAGGTAAGAAAAAGTTGCCTTTAGCAGCTTCCGAGTCTGGTGTTTCTTGATGGAGATGCTAATTTCCTAGAGAGAGAGCTCCAGGAACACAGCCTTTAAATATTGATGAAAATCAGGAGCTGTACCATCTCTGAAAAGAGACAGGCAAAGATGAAATTCAACATAAAAATACACTTAGCATCTTAGAGCTCCAGGCGTCTCTGGGTCTGTGCGGGGTCAGGCCAGCTCACTGCCACGTTCAGCTGTAAATATTGAGCACACCAACACGTCGGTGCCATGCAAGGGCTGCAGGTGGACTAACACAGGCGGCCCTCCAGCTCTTCACGCCTTCACCCTCACAGCCAGGATGTTGTGATGAGAGAAGCTGCTCTGGCTCCCAGGCAAGAGGTGAAGAGTTCCTGAATCCCTCGGACGCTTAGGACCAGAACCTTCCCCGTGCAGGGTAGGTGCCTTTCCCCAGGCAGCCACACAGACCGATGGGTCGGCAGCGGCACCGCTCCTGCCGCGGATGTTGGGGGAGCGGGCGGCACGGCCGCGCTCCCGCGGCCACACACGGCCCACGCTCACCCGTGCCCGGCCCCGCTCGGCCCGGCCGCCGGGCCCGCCCCGCCGCCGCTGGGAGCCCCCGGGGGCGGGGGAGCCGCTCCCCTGCGCGCCCGCCCCCGCTGCCGCCGCCGCCGCCCGAGGCTGGACGCCGAGGCATGAGAAGGAACCTCCCCGGCGGACGGGCTGAGGCGGGTTCGGGCCCTGTGTGGCTGCGCACCGGCCGCCCCATGCGGGCTCCGTCCCCCGCGGTCGCTCGCCGCTACTGCCGCCCGCGCCGGGATGGAGGCGCAGGGCAGCCGCCGGCGGCACCTCCCCGTCCTGCTGCTGTGGGGTAAGTGGCTGGCGGGGCCGGCCGGGGGCGTTCCGGCAGCGTGCGGTGCGGCTCGCCGCTACCGCCCCGGGACTGCTGCGGCGGGACCGCCTGGGCATCCTCGCGTGTGCGCGGACCCCGAGGGCAGCGCTTCAAGCCGTGGCGCGGGCCTGAAGTTCGGGGAAGGAGCGCCCCCGCTGTGGCTTGAGCATCGCTTTGGGAGAGGGTCTCCGGGCGTCCCTTGCCGGCGTGTCGGGACGCAGCGAGGATCGCTTTCCCTCCGGGGCTCTCCGTTCCGAGCACCGCGGCGGCTTCGCAGTGGGAGCGTTCCGGGCACGCAGCGGGGCCGTCGCTGCCTCGGGGCCGCCGGTCCCCTTCAGCGTCGCGCCGACGTCGCCGAGGGGAGTCCTCGAACAGGGCGTCCAGGCCCCAGGGAAAACGATCTCAGACTTCTCGCCTTAGTCAGGCTTTCCGTCCTGGATCCCCCTCGGGTTTTGGGGAGGTGTGTTTGGCTGTTGGGGAAGGTTTTTTCCTGCAGACTGAAGGACTCGTTCTGTTAGAGTAGTTGAGTTCTGAGCATGTAGTTATCAAGTGCAGGTATCCTTCAGAACTTTCTCTTAGAGTGCCTCGGCTGCTAGAAAAACTATTTTATTGCTCCTTGTCAGGTAGATTGTTTTGGGGCTCCCAGATTTAATGTCTTGTAGTCATCTAAAGTTGCCAGAACTCGGTTCTGATTATCTTCACTCAACACTAAACTAAGAGATAGAGTTGATTCCCTGTGAGTCACACTTAAGGGACAAAAATTCAGGCCTGGTACCTTTAGAAAATGTATTTGAGGACTTCAGGTCTTTGTTTGCTATTTTAGACCCCTTTCAAAGTATAAAATTGGTAAACACTGCATGTATTTCTATGAAAAAACCCACAAACAAATAGACAGTATTGACAGTGTTCAGTAGCATCATCCTTAGCTGGTCTGTTGAAAGAATGACATGTCAAATGCACAAGTTTCTGATTCTCTGTGGCTTGAGGACTTATAAAATCTTACCTTAGTTGCTCAGATTTCTGTTACTCCTCAGCTGAAAAGGAATAAAGAGATGGCCAACACTTGTCTTGATATGTAAAAGATGTATGCAGTCTTGAACTTAGGGAACTAGGCAATAATCTTTTTGTATGGGGAGACTTTTTGATGTTATGGTGTTTTTTGCAAAGAAGAATTCCCCACTGGAGATATATTTTCAGAGATTTACTAGAGTGAAGGACAGTGTCCCTGTGGCTCAGGAAGCTACAGATGGACATTTTTCACCAGAGAGGCACAGATAAATCAATTGTGCTAGATATTTTTAACTGTGCTAGTTCCATTCCTAGTAGAATAACACACACACAAAAGATTTTAAGAATATCTGTTAACTGATAATACATTGCTTTTGCTTGGAATTGGAAGGGTAGATATAATCAAGGACTAATGAAATGAGATTGATTTACTAGTGGAAAAACCTTAAGAGTTCTAGGATGTGAAATCAAGGGTTTTTAATAAGAAAAGCCTAAAGTGTTAGAAAACTAAATTTCTTTCTTGGGAATACAAATACAGTTTTAAAACTAGTTATTTTGGAAGAGTTTTTACTTTAAATGTATGATCATTCATAATTCACGCTTCTTTTAATGAAGGGGAGAGCTGTGACCTCTGCCATTTAGGTGAAACCACCATTTCTCAGTGTTGAGCTCACTGAAGGCAGTGGGAAACCTGTCTGGGTGGGGTGTGAGAGTGTTCTGTAACCTCAGGTGACTACTTTCTGTATCTTTCTGCCTAGGATGCTTGACACATTATCTCTATGCATAACTACTTGTGGTGTTGTCCATCCTTAGTGAGGATGGCAAAAATGCAGTGATTGTCGGAGAAGTTGGATTTGCTGAGTGTGGAGGAGAAGCAATGCATCAGCTGAGGTACTTGGTACCCAGGCATGCTATCAGTTTTATGAAGTGCAATGGCATCCAGAATGGGGCAGAGCTGGAAACACCTTCTGTCAGGTGAAATCTCTGATTTGCTCAGCAGAGCTGTAGATACTTAGAAGACACCTACTGACTTAAGAAATAATCTAAGAAATAGTGTTGTATTTACCATCATACCAAATTCTCTGACTATACTTCTATGTATGGAAACTAGGTAAGAAGAAACATAAGGGCTTGACCAGGACTTTTAGCAAAGTGGTTTTTTTACACAAGTCATTGTTTTGGAATCCCTGCCCAAATGTTTCTCCTTCATTCTTTATGTAAAACCTGCATTTCAGTATTACTATTTATATTTTGTTGCTGCAGGCCTCCAGCCGGGTAATAATTAGCATTGACTCCATGATTTGAGAAGGCTGATCAATCACTTTATTCTACTATGTCATACTATATCATCTTATACTATACTGTACTTATTAAGAAACTCGTAACCCTTGCAGACAGTCTGATAGAGCTCTGACCTACTTGGTCTATCCATCCAAACACCATCACCAGTGGCCGATTAAGAAATCACCCTTTGGTAAACAATCTCCATAACACATTCCACACGTGCACAACAGGTGCAGCACGTGGAGGTATGAATTGTTTCTCATTCTTTTCTCTGGTCTTCTCACAGCCTTCCCCAGGAAAATGCCTGGGGAAGTCTGTTGCTCTCTGAGGCCAGAGAACTGCTGTTGCAGTATTTGAGTTAAAAGATGCTACGAGAGTAAAGCTGGGTATTTTTAAAATTCTAGAGTAATCTTTCTCAATATATTTGTATAAACCTACATCAAGAGAGATGGTGTGACCCTTATCTGGAGCAGTTCTTGTATGCAGATTTCAAAGATAGTAGGTTTTTGCATTTCATAATGCTGTTTGCACAGAGGTTAGCCAAGCTTAGTGCTTTGGTCACAGGTGAGCAGCTGAACAGTTGGAAACAGCCTGGTCCCAATTACATTTTTACTTTCTGTTTTAAAGACTATACCTCATCTGCAAACAATAATGAAAAAACTGTGTATAAAAGTCCAAATTCTCTAAGGTCCTGAGCTCCCCTTGTGTGAAACATGTCATATGTAAGTCCTGAAGAGTTTGGATTCCAATGATAGAAAAAAAATATCCAACAGGAAACAATTTTAGCAGGTTAAAGTTTGAAAACCAAACCAAGGGGTTTTTTTTCCCCATTATTTTCTTATGAATATCATGCTGTTCTGCAGCTGCAAAGGGTGGAACAAAGAAAGGGAATACCATTGTAGGAGTTCTGAATTTAATAGACCAAGGCAAGTGTGTGTGGGTAAAACAAATAAACTTTTGCAGAACGGAACGTCTTATTCTGAGACCAACTACAGAGTTCTAACAAAACACTTCTCTACCAAAATGATGCTTCATATTCTAAAGATGTGATTGTCCACACAAGGCAAGCGGGAAGACAGGCAGCAGACCCCACCAACATCCATCCTGAAAGCAAAGCGTCTGGTGTAAATGCAGCCTGTGTTCCGATTTGCTGTTGGATCCAGGCATTCTTCCCACCACCCTTCACTCTGTTTGTGTCTCCTAATTCTTTTATTTGGGAAGGTGTCGATTCTTTCCTAAGATCTACATGTGCAACAAGGGACAGGTTCACACCAGTTCCCTTGAGAGGGTGAATGGCAGGACTGTCCCTGTAATGTCAAACGGACTGCAGGTGGTAGCACAGAGCGCTGAATGATCTCTCCAGCTCCAGCTTAGTCCCAGGCCTCAGGAGGAATGGCACTCCATGTTTTTAAGGTAACTCCAGGCTTTTAAACCCTGATTTACTGCAATGAGATCCAATCCTGGAGACCATTTAGCTAATGTAAACTCTTGCTCCTAAATTAGTAAGATCTTGCTATCTACATCCTCATTGAGGTTTTAAATACCTTTGGCGTCTCAGGACTCTGCCTGTAGGTTTGTTTTGCCTATGAGGCAAATCTCAAGAGACTAAGCAGTGGAGATTGACTTCTACACGGAGATAGGCAGGTGCTGTTCTAGGTGCAGATACACACAAACTGCATGATTTGAAGGAAAGGGTCTCGAGCTGAGCTCAAGGGGAGCTATGGGAGGTTTTGCCGGTTGAGTTGTGTTTAAACATTGCACCACCGGTAGTTTTTTGTACCATTTGTGTTTCAGTTTCTCCCACCTGTCTACTGGTCACTGAGATGATGCATGGCTTGGGTTGCAGATGAATCAGTTTCCAGTTTGCCTTACCAAGGAAAAAAATGGAATGAGTGGTCTCTTACAAAACACCATTTGCTACCATCTGTGTCTTGGCTACGGAAATTACTACTTGAGAGACGCTTGAAGAAAGCAAACTGTGCTTTCATTTGGGGCTCTGAGAGATTAATTTTCACAAGTATAATGAAGCTTGTTTTAATTCACACCCTTTTAGTTTAGTGAAAGCTGTTACATGAACCATTTTATTTCGGAACAGAAATTTAGTATTTTGTGTTTTATGGAAACAGCCTGTATTTTTTCTAAAATAAGAATCTCTTCGCAGCTAGGCTTTCATTGAAATAAACTGGAAAATATAAATGGAAAAAAAATCATATTATTTTAATGTGAATATATATGTAGAGCAACCTGAAAGC